CTGATAAGGAAGTCCTCTTGTGCTTTGCCTTGTGGCTTTGCAGTGGTTGCCAAAAGGCAGGGGGAGGGGAGCCAAGTGGCTGGATCCTGCTGAGTCCCACTTTGGAGCAGGTGCTGCCAGCCATCCTGGGATGCTGCTTGGGGGCTGCACAAGTGGGAGCTGCAAAAGGCAGGCACTCTTGTACCGTGCTCAGCTCGGGTTCAAAGCAGGCTTGCCCGTGAACCTGATAAACGATGGAAAATCTTGGTGGCTGGTGGCAGCTGCTGCTCTGTTTGTTTGGGGAGCGATTGCTGTGCTGCTTCGGTGCACACAGCCCCTTGCCCAGCCACTGCCTACAAGCTTCCTGCTCTGCTTTCTGCCCCAATGGCTGCTCAGGGGTGGGAGTGGTGGCAGCAGGGTAGCCTTCTGCCAGCCCTCTCCCCTTCCCCAGGGCTCCTTGTGTGTTGCTCTAAACAGTTGCTAGGAGGAAGTGTGGCCGGATGTGAATGCAGCTGCCCAGGCTGGAAGTGGTGCTCCTGGCCAGGTGTGGCTGGCCAAATGCTAATACCTTCCTTGTTTTAAGTGCTGATGAGTCACAAGCCTGGTGGGGATGTGACAGTGGCACGTGTCCCCTCCCAGGTACACCCTGCTGTGTGGGAACCCTCCCTTTGAGACCTCCGACCTCAAGGAGACCTACAGGTGTATCAAGCAGGTGGAGTACACCCTCCCTGCCTTCCTCTCTCTGCCTGCCAAGCACCTCATTGCTGGCATCCTCAGACGCAACCCCCAGGACCGCCTCACCCTTGAGGAGATCTTGGACCATGAATTCTTCAAGGTGAGTGGGTCAGAGTCTGGCCTTGACCCTTCTCAGGGTGGGATGAGGCTTTTTGGGTTGTACAGGGTGCTGTCCTTGGAGCTCAAGCCTCTGTCCTTCAAAGAAAGTGGCTGCTGTCCTGCCCAAATGCCAGCCTGAGGAGCTGAGGGATTGGGTGTGCTCTTGCTGACCTGTCCCTGTAGTACAGACTGTTTCCTGTGTTGATGCCAGTCGCGGGGCTGAGGCTTGATGGAAATGCAAGCTGGCTGTCAGGATGGCTGTGAGTGACTGTGGTCAGCCCAGGGCAGCTGATCTGCCATGAGCATGTGGGCTATGGAAACCAAACCTCTGCTTTGACCTCTGCAGGGCTACACGCCTGAGAAGCTCCCTCCCAGCAGCTGTGTGATGGCTCCAGAGCTGAGTCCCCCCAACCCAGCAAAGAGTCTGTTCGCCAAAGTCACAAAGACACTCTTTGGGAAGAAGAAACCCAAAGGTGAGCCCATGCACTTGCCCAGGAGCCTCTGCGTGACTCTTCCTCCAGAGTGAAGTGGGTCTTGTCTCCTGGAGAGTCTTTGTGGACCCCCTGCTTGAGGCCAGCACAAGCTGGGCTGGCCCCTACCCTTCTGGCACTGGTGGCCTGGTATGGGTGTGTGTCTGGAGAGCAGATACTGTGCTGCAATCCATGGAGGCAGTTCCTCCTGGAAGCCTTTTGTTGCATGAGAACTGGGAAGTGAAAGTGGGAGGCAGCTGCCTGACACAATCCTCACCACTGTGGGCATCAGAGCAGACAAGAGAGAGCTGAGTTACTGGGAGGGGTGGCCCAGATGTCCCCATCCTCTGTGCTCAGCAGTGTGCTCACTGCTTGCTCTCTCCTCAGCCAAGAAGGGCTCTTTGGAGGACAAGGATGACATCTCCAAGCTGGTCACTGGGCTCATGAAGACCTCAATCTGCCGGCAGATGAGCTATAAAACTGTAGAAGGGAATGAGGTGAGAATATCCCTGAGTGAGCCCTTATGCACCCTTCTTTGGGCAATCGCTTGGACTGTGATAAAGCCAGGTCTCTTCACAGGCCACTCCCATATCATGCTGCAGTGCCAGCTCCAGCCCTGTGGAGACAGTGATGGAGGAGACCTCTCACAAGTCTGTGTCCCCCTCCATCCGAGGGACGATGGCCAGCAGCTGTGAGGGTGAGAAATACCTGCCTAGGCCACCCCAGCCTGCCCCAAGCTTCTTGTACTGCCCTGGCTGATAGTAGGGCTGGCTGACTCAGCCTGCCATCTTCTCTCCACAGCCTTTGAAGACTGCATCACTGCCTCTGCCATCATTGAGTCGGCTGTCAGGCTCCTGCGGACCTGCCTCTCCTCCATGCCTCCAGGTAAACTGGTTGGACTGCTCTGGGATGGGACAGTGCTGTGCATCCCCTTCCCCCATGGGATGAAGGCATGGCTGCTATTTTTGGGTACCTTAAATGCTGCCAGAGCCTGCTGGTGGGGGGGTCTGCTTGCCCTGGGTAGGTGAGGTGGGCAGGGCCTGGCTGCCTGCTCTGCTCACCCCCTCTCCTCTCCACCAGCGGAGAAAAACCCGGCTTCCTTGGCCTGCCATGAGCACTTTGTCTGGGTGAGCAAGTGGGTGGATTACTCCAACAAGTATGGCTTTGGCTACCAGCTCTCCAACCGCAGCATTGGCGTCCTCTTCAACAATGGCACACACATGACTCTCTCCCCCAACCACAGGTGAATGGTGGGGAAGGGGGCTGGTGTCTCTAGGGAAGACCCTTGGGTGGGAAGGGGCAAGGGGTAGGCTGTGCTGAGGGTGGGGTTGGTGATGGGTGGCTTCAAAGCTCATAGTCTGCTCCCTCCCAGGACTATGCATTACAACCCAACCAACAGCAAACACCTTGTGTTCTCTGTGGCTGCCATCCCTGAGCAGCTGCAGGGACAGATGAGCATCTTGCGCTACTTTGCATCCTACATGGAGCAGCATCTCATGAAGGTGGGTGCTGGGGCCCTGGGCTGGGTGTTGGGTTGTGGCTTGACCACACTGCTTGAGGTTGTGGGACTCCCTGTTCATAGGCTGTGGCCATGTGGGCACCCAGGGAGTTGTGTGCTGGGAGTGGGGACCCCACTAGGGGGGTGTCCAGGTTTGGCTGTGTGTATATACTGGTGGCAGTGCTCTCATGTATGGGACCAGTGGCTTATGCAGACCCTTCTCTCCAAGGGAGGTGACTTGCCCAGCATAGATGACCTTGGGCAGCCGGCCCTGCTCCTCCTGCAATGGGTGAAGACTGACCAAGCCTTGCTCATGCTCTTCAGCAGTGGCACCCTCCAGGTACGTGTGAGGCAGAGTGGGAGATGACCAGACCTCTGTGGGAAGGAGGCCAGCTGGGGACTTTCTGTCACAGCCCAAATGCAAAGTCCAGCTGTGAAAACAGCTGTGGGGGCAGGATGCTGCTCCAGTGCCTGGAGCTGCTGGTCACAGCTTGTCCAGCCCATGGGGGACATGACACTTCAGTCAGCCACTTCCGTCTGCCCCAATGCTCCTGCCATGAGGCATGGAGTGGGGATGTTCCTGGGCAGGTCAGGGAGGAGGAACGGGTTGAGGCAGGAAGCGTGGCTTCATCCCAGCTCCCGACATGGTGTGGGTTAAACCAAGCCCAACCTATCTTCTAGGTGAACTTCTACAATGACCACACCAAGGTTATCATTAGCAAGCCTGACCACTCCTGCCTTGTCACCTACATCAACCGGGAGCGCAACTCCTACACCTACAAGCTGTGCAGCATCCAGGAGCTGGGCTGTTCTCCTGAGCTCCACCACCGCCTCAGATATATCCTCAAGCTCCTCCAAGAACGAGCTGAGGCCTAGTGTGGGACCTTGGGGGACCCTCTCTGGATGTAGAGGTCTCCCCCTGCCCTCCCATAGGATGGGAGGTATGTTGTGGTGCTGGCTGCCTACCTGGGCATGCTGTATCCTGGTGCTCAGCTGGACTCTGGACTAAGACACATGGATGTGGTTACAGCAGCAGGTCTGGACATACCTGCTGCTCCCTGGTTCTGGGCAACTGCTGTCTTACTGCTGGCAGCTCCTGCTCTGGTTGTGCTGGTCTTTGAGTGGACTGGGGTGGCACAGGGAGGTGGTGGGTGAGTGCCCTGCAGCCAGGTTTGGGGCTGGCTGTGCCTTGTTTGGTGCTGGCAGCTGCCTGAAGCGGGGTTTGGGCTGTCCTGCCCAAGGTGATGCACCAGTTGTACGTACCTTCTCCATGGCCTGGAGGGGACTGGCACAGCCTTGACCTCAAGGCTTTGCTGCTGTGGGGTAGGGAAAACTCCTTCCCAGGGGTGGACAGGGGTGAAGGGCGCTGCCTGCCCTGCCAGGGGCTACATGGGCTGGTGTGTGCCACTCCACAACTGCTACACTAAAGAGGGGGCTGTGCTGGGCCCAACTGTGCCCTGTCTGCTCTCCAATGGTGAATTGCCTGGTACAACTTGAGGTTTGATTAAGGCGGGGGGGGGAGGGGGGGGGATCAAAGGGCTTGCCTGGAGAAGCCCTTGTCTCACTGGGACCTGGGGAGGCTTCATGTTTCAAGGCATTCTCTTCTGTGTGGGACTATTTATGTATCTTATTTATATGGAATTATTTATTTTCCTGTTGGTCTGTCCATGTGCAGCTCCCCTGTCCCTGAATCACCTCAGTAAAACCTTGTGTAAAGGCAAACCATGTCTGTGTTGCTTGGAGCTGGGGTCACAAAAGGGCTTCAGCTTCTCAATCATTTTTGCTCCAAGGCTGTTTCTGCCTGCTAGGCAAGACCCTTCTTGAAACTGGCTGTTGCTGGGAGACAAGGTCAGGGAGGAAGGATGGGGGTGAGGAACCCATGTGGTACCTCCACTGCCCTTTCTGGGGCTGGCAGGAAGGGCAGTTAGCTCTTACTGATGCCTATAGAGCCCTGGAGCTGCCTCAGCTTTTCCTTGCTGCTGCCAAACTCTCATTCCCAACTGTCTCTGCACCTGGACTAAACCCAACTGCTGTAATTCTTCTGCTGAGCTGAAAGAAGGCAGGGGCTGTGGCCCAGGAGGTGGGTGGGTGGGTCTTGCCTTGGTCCTTGCACTATGACACCTGATGTAATGGGATGAGCTGGGACTGAAGCCAGGAAAGAGCAGGGACTTAATCTGCTCCATGAGCTTGCTTTGAGGGTGATCTGTCACCTCCTTCCCTGGTGCTGGTGTAATCAATCAGCCTGTGAGCAGCTTGTGCTGTGGGAAGCAGGCTGGGTTGCTCCCTGTAGTGCAGCCTTGGGCAGCTGCCTGCTCCAGGGTAATGCAGCAAATACAGCCCAAAGGGCTACAGCTTGGGTCTTTTTGAAAACTGTGGTCGTGGAAGCTATGCTGTGGGTGTGAGCCCAGGCAGGTGGTTTCATGAGGACCAGGGCACTGAGGTGCATCTGTACCTTTCTTCCTGTACACACCATGGCCAAAGACTGCAGATATGAGCCACAGCTGGAGCAAACCTCTTTATTTCAGCTGCTTTCCCCTTGCAGCCCTACAAGCTTCGGTGGAGGGAGAGGCAGGCACTAGTCAAAGTAGACCCCATGCACTATGGCCACAGCAAAGAGGGAGGCATTGGAGAAGGTGGCAGAGGCAAAGCTGTCGCTCTCAGTATCCCACAGTGCCCGGCTGGCCACCAGCAGGCTCTGCTGGCCCTGCTGGCCCAGCACCACCTGGCAGACTAGCTTGTAGCGTGGTGGCAGCACCACCTTCACCTGGCTATGCAGCAGCTCAGTCAGGCTCTGGGCTAGTGGGGCACTGTCCTGGGGGCTGTAGACTGTGGTCCCCAGGGCACTGGCCAGGGCCCCCTCCAGCACCTGCTGCACCCGCCCTGCATTGAACTTGCAGCCTTCATCTGGCCCCATCCTGTAAGTGTTTTCAAGGCAAGTCTTGAGGATGGGCTGGAAAAGGGGGAGCCCAGAGAAGCTCATGCGGCTGTGGAGCAGCCAGGGGCCAAGGGAGGGGCACCTGCCACCTGGGGCTGCCCCAAGTGAGCTGCGGCGGCTGGCCAGGGGTGCCAGGAGGGTGCTGAGGATGGAGCTGCGGCGGGAG